AACAAGATTCAAGTGTGTAGAGGAAAAGTTTTGTAGAAGGTATGATACCTCATTCCTTTCTTTTTGTAATACAAAAAGAAAAATCTGTAGAAAAGGGGGGTAAAGACAATTATGTAAAAACAATTATTTCAAATATTTAACCCAAATCTTCAACAGATTTTCCATTTTAAATATTCCAAAAAGTGTATCATTGTATACTATACTCAACAGATTTATCTATCGCTTAAATTTTTGTAAGCTAAAAAAATCTGCGACAATTAATGTTTTGGATGAAAAACAAGATTGATGCCCAATCTAAACAACCAAAATGTTTCAGCTTTCTACAACGTATGCACTGAACTATTTGTTCAATATCAGAACATCTCTAAATTTCAATAGGGACTGTGTCTACAATGATAAACACCGGATTGAAAAACCTGCCATCCACTGCAAAATTATGGCTAGTACACAAAAAGCTGGAGAAATTAGAGTTAGGGGGTGAGAGAAGCTAAATGAGCCAAAATGTTTAAAATCTCTGTCAAATCCCCGGAGATGCTAAAGATAAAAAGATTAGGGTTCCAAGAATCCAAGATTTATCTCTTTCAAGACAAGTGAATATCGCCTCTCACTGAGATTATGAAATATTCTATAAACACGTGCTTAACTCATCTTTGGCTTCCTGAATTTGATCACAGTGAACAGCCAATTCTTTTTTCTTGTTTACACCGACGGCTGGTTTTAAACACAACTCAAAATGGAATTTCAGGCCCAGGGCTACCACCCCCTACTTTTACCCCCCAGGCAGCCTCTTAACAGATAATAAGGAATTCAAGTGCAGAGCCTGAAAGTCGTATTTCCATGCTAATTTCACAACCCCGTTACTTGCAAGATATGACAATTAAGACTTAGAAGTGGGGAGCCGCGCGGGCTTGAGGATATAGCAACTCAAGACTTGCTAAATTGTTTTTCCACTTCCAAAATTAAAACTGCAACAAATTATCCAGTTACCAGTAGAATTTACAACAGCTCAAATTTGCAGTTGAAACAATTACATGTTTCACTTTCTTTTTTATGGGGGCGGGGGGGCGGGAGGGAGAGGGAGGCGAGTCCCACTCTCTCAAACTTTCGCAGTCATTTTTTTCCCTCATGGCTGACACGTTGATCATGTTCCCCAAATAGCATTCCCTCCCCGAAGGAGAGCGGGAATGGTTTAGGAAGCCGGTATTCAAAAATCTAAGTGTCTCTAAGTGGCAGCAGGTGCTGGCAGCACTGGGACTCGATCGATGGAGGCAAGGCAAGGCATTCCTTCTAAACAGAGAACTAGAATTGCCCTTCCAAAGCATCCCAGGGGCTTCGAGCATCACTTGGCGTCAATCAGAGCCGGGGGTAGGATGTGGTTTTATCTCAACAGTGCCAGCTCTGCAGAGCGCCCCAGTCCGTATCAGATTCGCGATCCCATCTCCTCAACGCTGCGGAACTCGGGTCAGGGCACAACTCCCCCTGAGCACCCCCTCAGGCGCCCCAATTTCGCCCCCTTTCCTCCCAACTCGTCCCCCTCCAGCCCAGCGCGGGGTGGCTACGCGGTGCCCCTGGCCACAGGCGACGCGGCTCCTCGCAGCATCTTCGGATGCTCCTGAGGTGGCCGGCCACCAGGACACCGGCCAGGGCATCGCACGACCCACCGAGACTTCCCAGAGGCGCCAATTCTAAAGTCGCCGGCCCCGCCGCCGCCTCCTCCGCGCGGCCCTCGGCTCGCTCCCCGGTCAGTCCGCGCGCCGCCCCCGTTCCGCCCTCCGACCCCCTGCGCCCTGCGCCGCGGGAAGACGCCGCCAGGTGCCTCCCTCCCGGGGCGCCCGCCGGACCTGTGCGCCCGCCTGCGGCCGCGCGCCCCCACGCACTCACCAGCCCCAGCCGGAGCGGCCATCTTAGCGCTCGCCCGCGACCCCCACCCGCCCCCCGGTTCGGTGGCAGCAGCGGCGGCGGCGGCGGCGGCAGGGGCCCGGTCGGGCGGCTACGTCAGCGGTGACGCGGCACCGGCCCCGCCCCCGCGCCGCCGGAGGGCGGGGGTGTGGAGGGGGCGCCCGGCGCGGGGCTGCAGGGGAGCCGTCCCGAGGGAGCCGCGCCGGGGCTGCCACTCGGCGGCAGCGGTGGACGTGCCCGGCGCGGCGGGGGCCCGCGGAGGCCGTGGGAGCTTCCGCCCCGCGGCGGGCTCCGCACCTGTCGTAACCGTCGGGGTGACCGCGAGCCTGTCAGAGCAAACCATCCCGCCCGCGCGATGCCTTCTGCACTGAACTTCTGCGACTCACGCGGCGCCGAATTGTTTGGCAGAAAGGCGCGCCAGTTCGGTTATCTTCAGAATCTGCCCAAAGGAACTGGCGTCGACCTTTTTCGAGGAAACGTTTCCTTCCCGAGGAGGCACCTAGGTGCGAGCTCAAGGGCTTCCTCAGATAGCAGTCGGGCGAGTAAGGTTCCAGAATAGGAAACTTCCTGAGAAGTAAGATTTAAGGGACAGAAAAAGGCACCTCTGTCCAAAATGACCGTACTTGAAATTGCCCATTTAAGATAATGAAGGCTATTCCGAAATGAAACGAAGAGAAGAGACTGAGGGAGAAAAATCTGGAGAAGAGGAAAGTCAAGGCTACAGGTACAAGAAGATGAGTCCATTAAGATTTATTGAGCTTTCACTTGGCGCTCGGCTCTGAGCCAATTCTACCCCGTGGGGAATATTGAAAATGAAAAGACACCATCTTCCTAAGGGGAGCTTGAAGCAGCAGCGAGACAACCGTGCAACGTTAATAACATGTCAGTTGCCTACGATTTCTTACAATATATAAAGCAAGCTATAAAACTGTTCATCTCTTTTAATCAACAATTCCACTTTAGGGAATATCTTTCAGTGGTGTGACCTGGAAAAAAAGAATGAATGCACAAATGTATTCGTAGTATATTATCCAAATAACAAAATTTTGAAGGAAAAAAAGTGTCCAACCAATGGGAAATGGCTAATTAACATCTGACATATTAACCTTGAGAATTCTTATGTAGATAATAAAATGGCAATAGAGTCTAATCAGTTCATGTTTGAAAAAATGTCGCGTATGTACGTGAAGATTCAAGTGCATACACTAGTCACGCACACAAGGATTAAAGATAGGAATAAAATAGATAAATAAAGATAGGAATAAAGTAGAAAGAGTAAGACTCCTTTCATTTTTTTTTCTGTATAGTTAAGCGCATAATATTCTCTCTGGTTCAGTTGTGTCCCCAGTGCATTCCTCTCACTCAAAACACAAACTGCTATCCTGTAACCTTTCTCGCTACCTTAATTTCTAAAATGCACTAAGTGCATCACATGAGAGCATCTCTTACGAGGAAGTATTTCTTCCAATTAAGTATTTCTGGCATGCAATATAGTTCTTTCTGTGGTTCCTAGAAAGCAAAATATAACAAAGACCAAAATCTTTGCTCTTATTTTAATGTTGTAAAACGGTCTAGAAGATCATTGGCAAACTCTATTAAGAGTCCGCCACCTCTGATCTAGGAATTCTACTTTTAGAAATACAAAGAGTTTTTACCTGAGACTCAGGCAACTTAGAAGGCTGAAAATAGACACAACCTAACTATTCAGCACTATGGGAGTGGTTAAGTACATTTGGTATATTCATGGGACAGAGTAATACATGGTCATCATAAATCTTATTTTCAAAAAATATTAAATGAAGGAATATAGGTCAAGCCAACTGCGTCTGCCATTTCCATTCCTCTGAGAGGTTCCTTCTGCATAAATTATCTTACGGGTACAACCTGAGCCCTTCTCCCTCTTTGCAACAGTTTACTGGACTGGGATGGACTAAGTCCACTGGACTGGGATTGCCAGACCAAGGGCAATCAAACTGTAGGAAGCTTGTTAAAGCTCTACCCAAACACTGTACAGGGTTAAAGAGGGGTTGAGGTGGATTGGATAATGGTTTAAAGGCACACTGAGTATGCAAGCAGTGGACACCAGGCAGCAAGAGCCACAAGGGAGCAGAAGCCCTGAGTAATCAGAAAGAGGGTATAGGGAGCAGCAGCTCAGTTAAAGAGAAGTAGCAGTAGCAGGAGTCTTAACAAAATTCTGAGGAGAACTGCTTGGATTCCAGGAGCCTCTAAAATAACTGTATAAAAGTGAAAACTAAAAACAGGATGCAAAAATGTATATACTGTGTTTTAAATAGGTATGTATGAATTATTCACATTGAACGACACTTGGAATACATCAACATTTTAATGATGGTGGCGAGATTACAAGTGATTTTTATTGTCTAATTTTCTACAATGATCATAGTTTTCACTAACTGTTGTATAAAGAGTTAAATAGAATGAAGATCATCAATAGTCAAAAGTTCTAATAAGTGGATAAGTTGCATGTGGTCAAAGTGACTAGCAGACAGAAGTTCAGAGAATTTCCTGAGATCATAAATGGCTTCAAGGAACAGGTGGCACTTAGACTGGGTCTTTTAAGGACTCAAATGATTTGCATGAATGAAGAGGAGGTGAAATGGAAAGAAGACAAAGCAAGGACAAGCTGAGTAAAGCGTAGGTAGAGGGTGCTGAATAGGGTGTCCTTAACAAAATGTGTTGACTATGAACATCTAAGCCAGGAGAGGTGCTGGATGGGAAGTGGGGAGATAAGAAATTATCTGGAGATTGTTAATTGTGTTAATAATTAAAGAGTAGTAATGAGATAGTTTGTAGCATACCCTTTCAAAATTATTATTACTATTTATTCAACTTTGAAAATTTCCTCAGCTACCAATTTTATTCCAGGTCTTAACAACCTAGGCCTAAATTATGGCATGTCTAGCTTATTTCCTGAGCCCCAAAACTTCTCTATTGCAATCTCATTTTTACATAGCTGTCAATCATTCTTCTCATGTAATTTTCCTATTTGTTTTTTAACCATCTCATCAAATCTAAACTTATATAACAAAAAAATGTCTCTTTCCCTTCCCACCTTTATAAACTGACTCCCCCAAACTTACCTATTACATCCTCAAAATCAGTCTTTCCCCACTTTGGCCTTTGGAATGCTAAGAAGTCAGTCTCCTGAAGTTCTTCCACACTTCAGGCACTTCCCACCTTTAAATCAGGGCAGATGTTTATCTCGTAAGTAGAAAGCCCTCCAACTTTCACTCCTGCAGATCATTACAATCAACCTCTTTCAGAGCTGGCCTAAGCTCTCACCTCCTGGAAACAGCTTTCCTAGTAACAACTGGGCTTCCAGATCCCCAGCCCCCACCCCCACTAGGACATTATTATGCAGTCACATCCTTTGTTCTGAGTTCCGCGCCTGGTTCTCTCTCTTTGCATTGTGACCTCTGTAGGGGCAAGGACTGTGCACTTGCTCCATCTGTGTACCTCTCCACAGCTCTTAGTACAGTGCTAGCCAAAAACACTCTTAAAATTCTTAATGACTTAAAATTGGAAGTTCCCTAGTGTAATATAGGGTTGTGGAAATGATGTGTAGGGGTTTCCTTGTTTCCACAGTCCCCAAAGTGGGAGAAATGGCAATTTACCCTTTCTCCAAGGTAGGCGCACGGTTTCCTAAGCAAGAGAAAATTTTAATGACTCTGAGACCTCAATTCTGAGGCCATATCCAGCTTCTTCTGAAGTGGATACAACACAAACTGGTTTTGTTTCCTGTGTCATGGGAAGAGAGTGTGAATGAATTAAGTGGATGAAGTAAAAGAATACAAAACACTGCAAATTTTGTAAACCTCAGAGGTGCTTTTTATGCTTTGCATTGATTTTTAGAATTTTCTAGTCTGGTCTTTCATGAATCTGAGAAATATCTTAGGAATCCTAATTGTAGACAAATAAAGAATTTATGAGCTTGTTAACTTTGAGGAAACTACTTCCAAGAGTTTTCAGAGTTTTATAGACTGAGTGTTCCTATCTCATAAGTTTAAAGTTATTAAAGATTTATTTGACAAATATTTTTTGAGCACCTATGTGCCTGGCACCATGCTAGGTGCTGAGATGTCCCTAGCCTGCCTTTAAATGTTTTGAGGACAGAAAGGATTAAATAGAGGAAGTAGGTAAAGAAAATACTAAAGAACTCAGACCTGAAGTTTGATTAACGTGTAGCAACACAGTGCAGTTGAATTTTTTTCTTAAATGAGTGACCTAAAGAACCTTGAATTTATGGCAAATATGTAAGAAAGGAGTTGAGAGAATTCTATTGAAAACAGAACAGCAGATGGCCAGATATGGCCTTAGTAGGTGAATAGAGAGGAAAGTGTGCAGAAAGAAATGGCTTTAGAATTAGACTTTTTTTTAATTCTAAGAAAGAATGAGGGTGGTGGCAGGTAAGGGAGATAAAGGCAAGTTGAGAAGTAGATGGTACCAAAGCTGATTTAATTTTAATGGGCCATTAACCGTTTATTTGGAGGTCTGTGAGGGAAACTTGTACTTTGAGGTGAATTTCCAACGTAGTCCTTACTGGAAGTTGAAACTGAGCCCAGGGTTTTGGCATTAACTGAAGCAAAGTTGTGAACTTAGTCAATTCGTCTCGCCTTTTAACACCCTCAGCACCTCCACTCTACTCACTTTTTGGGGGATCCTCAGGCTGCTTGTGCCCAGGGCTTTACCTCAGTCTATCAAAGGTCTTTCTGTCTTTCCTCCCATCATAACTTTTCCTATTTCCTATTTTGTTCTAGGACCTTTACCCTAACCTTCCTTTTCCTAAGGAGCCCAATTATCATGCAGTAAACTGATCCACTTGTAAATTATTAGTGTATAGTAATGTTTTTTGCATTTCTCTCTAAGATTATATTTTAATGGAACCTCCTGTAGACACCCAGAGTGTGGAATTTCTAAAATGAAATTTTAAGCAGTGTGCCAGATTAGTGGGACAGATATTTTCTTAAGCCAGGCCGTGTTTCCAAGGATAAGCTATGGGTGTGTATGTGTGTATACGTACATATATATACATACTTACACGCATACACACACACACACAATTATATAACATGTTTATCTAGTTATAATCACAATTATGACAATTTATCTAGTTATTTTTAGTTCTTTAAATATGTTGCATGTTTTATCTCTAGCTCCTCTGTAAAGTTAGGAAAATAGTATCTGTCCTACCTTCCTTTCAAGGATGTTTTAAAGATCAAATGAAGTTTTGCATGTGTAAACACTTCCTGAAGTATAAAGAGAAAAGTAAGTGTATTTATCATTATTATTTCTCTTGGGGTTATTACCATCCTGTAAAGCTCCTTGGAGTCAAGAACTGAGTTTTGTTCATATTTATAATCCCTTAAATCGAGTTTCACTTCTGTACTAAATAATAGTTAATTGCAGGATAAATACTGTAAAGGTTAAAATTATAGTACTGTGAGAAACGTGCAAAACAAAATTTTAGTCTCCCTTTCTCATAGCAGAGGGGGAAGGATCTGGAAAAGCAGAGAGAGAGGAAAGGAAAAGCGTTAGGGTGGAAATTTTAACTTTTAAAGCTTTAGTAAACCATACAAAAAAGATACTAGTAATCTTTCATGAGGGAAGATTATTGAGGTATCTAAATTTTATTTTATACTCTGTACATGTTTTTAAGTCCACTTCTTTAAAAAAAGTAGAATAAGGACAGTGTAGATGGTTAACCGTAGTTGTTTGTGTGATTATTTCTATCTTCCCAAACCATTTGGAAATTGAAATCCTGCAGTGTTGCTCCTGGGTTGTGAAAAACGTGAAAGCTAAATAGAAAGTAGCAATCAAGGCAGTACGGTACTGCATCATATAAACGAAACCACATGCTGTAGATTCAGGATGTATGCATGCAATAGAAAGAGCTAACAATTCCTCATGTGCAGGAGTTAGGGTGATCACCCTGCTTTTCTCTGCCATCTTAAGATCCTTCCTTTCAGGTCAACGGCCCTCTTGGCAACAATCATTGGTTGAGCCATCTATAAGCAGTGTCTGTAAACCACCCATTCCTCAGCTAACCAGAGATTAATGAAGTCCTAGAAAACCACATTTCCACAGGAGACTGTTAAGGGGAAAGGAGATTGTATGTAAAGTAAATTGCCCCCGTCTATTTCATTTGATCTTTGGTCCTGAAACTAGTGTTTACAGAACTGAAAAGAACAGACAGATGCTTGATACAGATTTCTTAATTTTTTAAATTAAATATATGGCTTCTGATCTTTAGAAAAGTAATGGAAGATGTCAATCAGTAGAAAAAAGGTGACATGGAAGAAAGTCTTTTTAGCAAGTATCAAGTTTTCTTTCTTTTGTCTATTTGCTTGAAATTCTAAAATGCCTCAGGAATGATCACAGAAGGAAATTTGTATAAATGCCCCATTAAACACTTAGGAACTTATCTCTTCTTTTCTTGAAAATCCATGGTAGTATTAAAGGATGGCTTAAACATTTATTTGCTTATGCCCATAATATTTTATTGAATTAAGACTAAATCTGGTTTTAACATTATCATTAGTCAATCACAAAATTAAACTGTGCAAAAGAATTATAATTTTGACTAGTCTCATTATGAGTAATTTTCCTCCTCATTGTTTCGTTTAATACTTATCTACATGTAATGAAGATTAGGGCTATTCTTACAAAAAGGACTATTAAGTATGCCTTCGCTGTGTTGGTATGATGGATGCCAGGAAAGACCAAACTTCCTTGACTCTGTCATGTCCCTATTATTAAACAATTTAAGGTCAGAAATGCCCCTATTATTAACCAATTTAAGGCCCCAGGTTAAAATGCAAATCTGGGAGGTGGTAATTTGTTAAACTCTTATCAGTTCTAATATCTTAGTGCAAATTCATGTATTTGATAAATTGACAGTGCTCTGAAGACAATAGGAAATCGGCTGTTAAATTTGGGGATGAGGAGGGAAAATGAGAAAGGTGCATAGATATTATGTTGCGTCTGGGAGGCCTGATCAAAAGTGGAGCAGTATCAGGGCATTCCCTGGTTCTTTGGGGAAATAGAAAGAGGGAATCTGAATGCATGCAAGACACTTTATCTAAGACTAGTGCTAGTCACGAAGTCCAACACTGACTATCTGTGGAAAACCTAAGAATTCTCTGGGAAGAACGGCTTGTCATAATCAACTCTGTGCTTAAGGAAAGCAAAAACGAACCTCCTCTGTAAGTCACTTAACATTCACGCCTCTCAACTTCTCTGTCTGAAAATGAGAATTAAAAAACTGCCTCTGCAGATCCACATTATTGTTGTGATGATTATGGGAAAGCTTTTGTAAGCTATGAAGGAAGCACTGCATGAATTTAAGGTAAATTTTAAGTCTAAAAGGTAGGTGATGGCATTTCCACTTAATTTACAATTTATATTGACCCCAGTGAAGATCAGATGAGAACTGCAGTGCAACTAATAGCTGCTACTATATGTAAGCCAGGGATGTAACAAAAAATTTTTAATGATAATAGTTCCCAGTAAATGTTAGGTGCTATTATTATTGAGGCCTATCCTATCCTAATATGTGAGGTACTTTGCTGCTAAGCTTTTCCCCTTCTTCCACGTTTCTTTTTCTTTTCACTGGCCCCTTACCCTCTGCTTTCAAACATGCAGTTTTCCAAATCTGGAAAGAAATTGCTTGACCTGTGGCTTCCTAGCTCTACCACTTTATTTCTCCTCTCCCTTACATCATCAGTGAGAAGGCTGTCTCAGTAGATCTCAACGGCGTAGAAATAATCTAGTTGGCATGAAACTGTGTTTCATCACAATCACTAAAAGTTCATTCTTCTCTGATCTCTGTATCTACATAGAGATAAGGCTTGCCTCCCTCTGCCCACTTTACTCACCAGTTTTTAATGCATCATCAATGTGCTCTGTAGAAATCATAATAATCACATATATTCTCAATAGTTCTATATTTTGTCAATCACTAATGAGACAGGATTCATGTTTATGAGTTGGAACCATGGGAACAAGACAGTCTCAGTAGTATTATTTTTCACAGTCCTAAAATTTTCTGTAAATGATAACTATGTTTAAAAGCCTAGAAAGTCCTCTGATTTTTAAAAAAAATCATCATGACTCTATGGTAGTGACTGGTGGATACAAAATGTTGAAAACTGCTGGTTTATACCTGCCATCTCCATTTT